TTTACTGTTTCTTTTGTGATACGTTTTTTAAGTTCTCAGTCTGAGTCCCAGCTTATTTATCCTTTCAGTCATAGTTTAGAATAGATTGTCTTCCTTGTTCCTGTGTTCTTCCCTTCTCCTCAAAGGATCCAATCTCCATCTAGTAAAAATTTCTTATAGGTTCTTATCAGTTGTTGCCTGTACTTTTTCAGTGACTCCCAGTTTCTCTACCTCAACCCTTAAGCTGCCATCTTTCATCTGATTTTCTAGCTCATTTTCTGTTTCTTTCCTAGACAGTTCCCAGATTGTCTGTTTTTCTGTCTGTCCCATTCTGATTCCCAGTATGTAACCATTATTGTCTATTAAGCACAAACATCTCGTGTTTTGCTGTCGAACCCAGTGCTGTGCTTCAATCTAGAGGGCTAAATCTTCTGTTAGCAGATTTCTATTCTCAGTACCTTTTGGCAAATACCTCTGTTTCCATTTCTCTCTGCCCATTTTGCTGCTCTTTCGTCTCTTTTTTCATGGAGTGCACTAAAAATGGTCTTGTTATCTAAAAGCAAGGTAGAAGAGGTATTTCTGTGGCATAAAAGCACCCTTCTGTTCCCTGTTTTACTTAAGAGTAGTGGAGGGACCTTCCTCTCATAAATGTGATAGACTTAACCATGTATACGTTTCCAGTCTTGTTTCAGTCAAGCTTCTTGGTCATGCTTTTATAGGTTGCTTGTCCTTCAGTCCACATTCAGCTTGAAACTTCTCTGTTTCTATTAAACGTTTAGTGAATTAATTTAACATCAATTTTTATTAAGAAGTTGAGTTATGAGTCTGAAAAGCTGTGGAAGAAATGATACTTTTGTCATAAGTGTGTTTCTGGTGCATAACTTCTGTGTTGTTAGTAAGATACTAAATTATTCTGTGATAGTCTGCACTAAGGGACTTATTAAATGAATGCAATTCTGAGCAAATTTTGTTTCACATTAACTTTAATCCCAACAAAAAAGATGTTTCCCAGTTTACTGACTTTCAGGCTGAGGGCACTTTTAGTCTTTTTAGCTTTTCCTTGTAAACAAAAGAAAAATAGACTTTCCAGCCCTTAGTCCCCTGACAGCTGATGACCTCATAGCCAGCCAAAGCTAACTTCAGTTGAAGTTTTGATATGTTTAGTGCATCAATTGATTTCTTTTCCTTAGAAGTTCTGAATGATGTGACAAAGCTCAGGTAGTAGTTGGGGTCTCCACTCCAGCATAGTTTCCACAACTAAAATTACCAGACTTACTTATTTGTCCAGTGGTCTTTAACCTTATTCCTCTGATTTGTGGAAAGGAGATCTTAAGTGTCAAGATTTTTTAAACTTTTTTTTTTAATTGCTGATTTTGTTGTCATGTGACAAGGATAAAGGGGGTGTGAGTTCCCTGTTTAGGATGTTAGGAGGTTCTTTATGTAGCCAGAGAATTATACCTAGCTAGCCACAGAGTCTCTTTGAAGAGGAAAGCAGTACTAAATTGTGAAGTTATATGCACTTAATAAGCTTTCAGAATTGAGTATCAAGAGCATGGTATTATTTCAAGCAGCCCTAGTGTTATCATCAATGGAAGTAATGCATCTTGAAATTGAGAATCATGGAAAGATAAGAAGAAAATGTGGAATAATAATAATAATAATAAAGGCATTGTCAGATGAAAAAAATAATGTACCTTGTAACGAGTAGCTTGATAAGACCTGAAAGCTATGTTTTTTTCCCATCAGAAAAAAACATTTCTTTTATGTCTAAACCCTCCTTGGCAGAAGGTCACTTTTCCACTGGGGAAAAGCAGATACTTGCTGGTGTGTTTGGTTTTGTTGTTGGGGTGTGTTGGTTTTGGGGAGGGGGTTGGGTTGTGTGTGGGTTTTTTTGTTTGGTTTTTGTTTGGGTGTTGTCTGTCCCATTGTGAATCTGTGACTGAGATAGACCTCATGGGAGCTATAGTCACATTTTCCTCTATTTCTTTTCTTTCTTTCTTTTGGGCACTGTACTATGCTGCATAGGTTACAGAGGGAGTAATCTTGGTCTCCTGTCCCAGATAACATGCTTGAAAAATGGTGGGATTTTTTCTGAAATACATGGAAATATTTATTTTAGTATTTCCATTTTAGAACAAAGACACCAGAATTTCATGCAGGACGGAAGTTTTGCTTTTTGGTTTTCTCCCACCAAAAACTTGTATCTGTGACTGAGAAGACTCAAAACTAGTGGTAAATTTTTATAACCTTAGAACTGCATAATGTATCCAGAAGAGTGAAGAGCATACTAAGGCTAGAATAACAGAATTTTCATTAGAAATTAGTTTTCATTACCAATCATAGCAGCTGAGGGTGCTATCTGCTGTGGGATTTGGTCATATTCTTTCCAAATAGTTCTCTTGGAGTCTTTCCTAGGCATACTCTTACAAATCAGTTGAATATTTACCAGCCGTTTTAAATGCTAGAGCTGAACCTTTAGTAAGACACTGGTATGGAAAGGTGGTGGAATGTTACTACTGTACTCGTCATCAGTGTTGTGGTTCCTGAGGGGATTCTTCTTGTCTTTCAGTGATCGCTGTTCTCTGATTTCCCAAGGTGTATTTCTTTATTAGTTAAATGCAATGTTTTTTGCAGTGCCCTCCAATTTGTCCGTGACTTGCGTAATTCCAGTCACACAATAGCATGGTCCAGGACACGTAGCCCTAACCTGACCCTTTGTAATGCCAGGTTAGCTTGTGGTTTTTGGGGTTGCATACTGTTTTGGCTAATATTTATCAGTGTATATTTTAATTAGGTAGGAGAAAACTTGAAGCTTGTTTATTTGATACTAGGGTATAGTGGTTGGTTAAATACTTAAGGATAAAATTAATGAATAGAAATGGTTATATTTGAGACCACAATAGTTAACAAAAATAGGAAGGGACCACTAAGTAGCTGATCACTGAACTGCCTGATTTGTAATTGCTGAAATAGTATTTTGTATTTAATACTCGAGTTTGCTGAATATCACAGCTTACATATTTGGCTTCGGATTATTATTGTAACTGATGTGTGAGCTTGATGTAAGTCTGCTTTTGTATATTAAACTGATGAATGGATTTAATAATTCAGAATTATTAAATTCATGTGCTTCTAAAATGAAAGACATTACAGATTAAAACAGCCATTTTATTCATGGTCCACTGATCACAAACTCAATATATTAAATGTCTTTCCAGTCTCACTGATTTTCTTGATTTTCATGGAAAAGTGAATTTGCAGGAATACTTGAGTACAAGCCGCCTCTTTCTGTTGTTGAACAGAAATTGTGCAGTGAAGGACTGCATTTAAAGAAATAAAGGCAATGAGACTGCACTTCCTGTGTGGTTTAAACACTCCTGTTGTGAAACTGAGGTAGAGTTGGGAGTATAATGTAACACTCAAATTCATCTTCATATAGCCATTGGGTTCCAATGTTCTGGAATGTCAAATTGCTGTACAATGTAGCTGTAGTAACATCTTTGTACATGATACCTATTCATGCTGATGAGTATTAATTTCTTTCTCCGAGAGTGTCTGATATAGGCTGTTACCCTTCTGAATTATGTAGTAAGTATAGTAAGTGTGATGAAGAATTAAGCTTATAGAAAGCTCTGGTGCCTGAAGTAAGGCAGTATAACTAATTTCTTCAAGTGGACCTTTGCATCCCTACTGTGGGCAAGATGGAGAACAGGCACTCTTTGTATACTGGTAAATTCTTGAGGTTAGCTTAAAAAAAATGCTGATTTGATACTTGGTGGTTCAGGAGGGGAGAATTGGGAGAATGGAGGACAGAACTGCCACAGGCTCTTCATTCTACCCATCAGTTCTGCTGTCTCCTCACTTATATTTTCTTTGCGCTACCAGAGCCTCACCACTGCCATGCCGTTACAGGCCACTGCTCTTTATGCTTCCATTAGCAAAATTTCTCTTCTGCTCACTTTCCAGCCTGTCCCCAGGGCTCGGTCATCTTTTTCTCCTCTCTCCCCTTTCTTTCACCAAGGACAGAAGGTTTCGTGTTTTGTGAAGTTTCCAGTCTTAAGAAATCATTGCTGTCATAGACCTGGCAAATAACAGCACCACAGCACCCTCTAGTGGCTCGCTTTATTTGCTGAGCTTCTGGCAACGCGTGACTAGGGCTCTTCAGGTAGACTATGAAGGGAAAAGCTTCGCTGCTCACTGACAGCAAACCACTTAATTGTCTCTTGAAGACTGTCAGACTTGGCAGCCAGCAAAAATGCCAGCTATGCACAAAATGTGGCTAGGGGCTTTTCAGCGTCTGTAACACCACATGCTAAATTATGGTTAAGTACAAATGTTAACTTTCATGCTGTTCTTTCTAAATGGAAACAGTCTGTATGTCCTGTTTTCATTATTTTGTTTTTTCAGAACTGTTTTGTCTGGAGATGCCAGGGAATTACTGCATCAAGTACTTAATGTTACTAATAAATGTTTTCTATCCAAAACTTATTTTTAAAAATAACTTGTAATGTGATCTTTCTCAAAGGATGTTGATTATTTTATAAACATAGCTCTTCCACTTAAGGGCTCAGTGTGTTTCTTCTTAATGCCTTTTTTCTGATTAAAATGGGTTAAGGTGCTCTTTACCACCTCTACTGTTTTTGCTGTAATGTTTTTAACTTCTGTGATAGGTAAATAGTATCTCCACAGAGAATGGTCTTGTCACAGATGTCAGTGGTTCTGATTAGAAGGCTGTTCAGATGCCTGTTAAAACACTGCATGTACACTGTAAGAACTTAGAACAAAATAGCAAAGTAGGTATAAACCAATTTTCTGCTTGCTTTTAAAGAGTATGGTATTTATAAAATCAAGTTTTAAAAAAATTTGCAAATACTATGGCACAAACAGTGACATTATGTATTGTCAGTTATGTGACCAATACAACTAGCAGCAGGAGAGACTTCTGGTATGTTATCTTCCATTGTTAATGGTAAAGGGTATCTCTGTTTCTAAGTTTTAATAGAAGTTACTTTCTTTAACAGGCTGGACTAATTGAAGCCAATGGAGAGCTTAAGGTGTTTATAGACCAAAACCTAAGTCCTGGAAAAGGTAAGAACATAATTTTTAGTAGGACTCTCCATTTTGTGATTTTTAGTTGTTACGCTTTATTACTGGCTTTCAGCTATTTAAACTTAGCATAGTTTTTGTAAAGCTTTTCTAAGTTATATCACATAATCAGCAAGCAAACTGTAGATTTATTTTTTTCTGGTTTATCATTGTCTTTAAACTGTGTGAAGTTCAGTGGTAGTTTGTTATCCGATGTGTGATCTCCTTAGCGTAGCTTGGTTTTAAGTGTAAAGGCTACGATGGTCTAAAACATGCTTTGGCTCTGTGTTCTAGCAAATGGGAGAAATGCAAGAGTGTAGGAGTTTAAAATGGGTTGTGACAGTTTTCATGATAGTGCATACACATTAGTGCAAGCCTATCTAAAAAATATTTTGAACAGAACTGTTTTGGACTTTCAGATAATGGCTGTGCATGTGTGATAGTGTAATGTAATCAAGCAGTTTGATAAACCACAGGCAATAAACTTGAATTTGAATTTAAGCTCAAAACCAACAGTATCTTAACTCTTGGGGAGTTAGGAGCTGTATTTTGTAATTAACATAGTGGGAGGAAAAAACAGAAGCACCGCTGAGTTCCAGTTGCCTGCAGTTCTGGACAGTTATGTCATATAACCTCTTCTTTAAACTGATGATGCTGTACATGAAGATTAGATTTTTGTTCCCTGTATTCTTGTGGGAAGGCTGTTCCATAATGAGACTGTAGAAATAGTCTGTGATTTCCAGTTAAGTATATTCTTGCCAGCTTATGCATTTTGCTGGTGGCAGTGTTACTTTTTCATTTGATAGTTTTCTCCGGTGTGTTTGCATATTCTTTACAAATAACGGTAGGGTATCTGAAGAGTTTTTAGTTTGAGAGGCCACCAAGCCACTGTTTCCTAGTTTCCTCATTACGTAAGTTCTTTCTGTCCTCTGGATTTTCATTATCGTCACTCCTTGACCCTGTTTGATGGCTTTCATTAACCTTCTGGAACATAAGTGAGCATATAGTACATAAAATTCCCAAGTGAAGTGTCAGTCCTATTTATATGGAGGTCTCATTAATGTTTTTTATGCAATGCCATGTTTGGTTCACAGGCACCTCACAATATATTTTGGTGAAATGGCTGTTTTCCTTTGTTGCTTGTTCCGAATTACAATAGTCCGGTTTAGTCTTGTGCGTGGCAGATGGTATGCTTTGATAGGCTGTACCAAGTAGGGTAAAATTCAGTACGACAAAGTCACCTACTTCTTGTCTGATGTTCTCATAAACCTCACTGTTGACAAATCTATTGACTTTATGCATTATTGGTTTATGATAGTACTATCAGATTAACCTGTAGTCCAGTACAGGTGATCTCCATTAATGTTATTGCTCTAGCCTTTATATACCATTTCAGGAAACCTGTTTAAGCATTTGCTTTCACAACCTGCAGATCTTAACAGTTTCTGTTACCGTCAGTTTAACTTGACAGTTTTTCTAGTTACATCAGGTACTTGATTGGAATCTCACTTGGTTCTCTCTGTGACATTCCCTTGTCTAAAATATACATTGCTTCACAGAAGTGGGCTGTCTGACTAATTGCCGTGATCTGCTTTTGATGAAGAAGGCGCTAAGGGTTGAGTAAGTGACACTTACTAACTGGTTCACATGTATGTTCATTGACACAGTCTCATAAACCTGAACAAAAAAAATGTGCTAGTAGATACCTGTTCCTTAACAGCTATACCATTTTCCCTACCCTTGTTGGCAGTAAAAACCTGTGTTTTTGTCAAGACAGGTACTTAGAGAACATTTTACACCCATGTAGGTGTCTCTGTCTAGACCTTGTTACAGTCTTGTTACAGTAGGGAGGTAGTCAAAACGGGTAGTGCAGTCTAGACAGCAGGAATTGTAAATGTTAATCTTCCATTATCATGTAGCTTAAGTAGAACTGGGCAAAGTAAAGGCCATTTTGTTGTTTACAGAATTTCTAAAATGAATTCAAGAGAATAATCCTGGTTTGCAGCTCCTCCAGTTTGAGAGTCATTGAAGCTCTATTCTTAGTGTATCCCACCATGAATAATATAAGGAAACTAAGCTATCCTCATTGAATTTCTGCACCTCACTGCTTTTGAGAGACTCTCTTAAAATTCATGGACAGCCGCTAAATCTTGAAAAGAAACAACTGTTTCTCTTGGCTTGATCATTTTACGTTTCTTGCCTCTAAATTGCCTGTGTTTTATATGCAGGCTCTGTAGTCTTAATCAGAGCTTAAAATAACTAATATTTTGTCACTAAAGTACTCAGATACATATGAGAATGTATTCAGTGAAGTAGTATTCATTTTCTGTTGCCAATTTTTTTTAATTTTTAGGGGGTGTTATAAAAACCTAATATTGCCAATCTGTTTTAATTGATTTTTATTATATTTAATATCGAGAGACAATAAGCAAGCAGTGCTGGGTGCGCCAGGGAGCCTCCGCTCCGCCCGAGACACATGAGGGGAACTTAAGGGGATAGTCTCTTATACTTTTTGGTCTTGGGTTTCAGCCAATCCTGTTGTCTTCTTTTCCCGGCCTTCTTGGGTTTCAGCCAATCGGGCTTCTCCACCTGTTGCTGGGGTCTTGTCTTCAGGTGAAGAAATACTATGTCTATCACAAGTCTGACCACCATCTTAGCCCCCATAAATTCCACTCCTTATGTGTTTATTTGTTCAGCGCACAGATTTCACAATGTTCTGTAACAGGACATATCTCTAAGTTACCTACCCCCTCCCCCTTTTCTAAGAACATTCATGCAATTTAAACAATGAACAAAACATTTCTTTGCACAATATTGCAGTTGACCCAGGGGAATTATTCCCTTGTTTCTTCTTCCTCCTCACTGTGGTATTGACAGGGACGCTTATCATACCCTTTGCACATAGCACAATGATCACAAGGGATTCCATCTCCACACAAAGTGCAATGATCACTAGGACCCCTGAGTTGCTGACACGAATCACTCTGATGTAACTCACAGGGGGGTTGTATAGTCTTTAAATGCTGGAATTTAAAATGCAACTATTATACACAAAATTGGTATGTACTCTCTAAAAGTAGCTGTCTACGTTACATACTATTATATGAGAAAGTTCGGTCCTCCGCTGTCTTGCTAAGTTTGTGTGGAATTTCAGTTCTTTCCACAAGTAATGGGATTCAGTCCACAAGAATATATTTAAAAAAAAAAGCCCAAACAAATGCAAAACCAAAATACAAAGTAAGTTTTTTGCAGGGTAGCAGAAGTGTATCTTGTGTACCACTTAAGGTAAGTTGAAGGAGGTCAGGAAATACTCTTTCTATTCTTCTCTTGTAGTCATCATTAAAAGTGGAAGGGTTTTTTGTTTTTTGTTTGTTTGTCCTCCCCTTTGGCTTTTTATTTTTTAAAATGAAAGAATCTTTTCTGGAAATTGCAAGTCAATCACAAGGAGAGTTTGAGAACTGATTGCATCAAAAATCTCCCTACTGTCAGATGAGTGCTTTGCTTAGCCCAGTCTGCTGCCCCCAACAACAGTAATAGGGCAGGATCTTTGGGGAGAGTGCAGGAGCTTGGCTACTTTTTGAAGTTAATTCTCCTTATGTTCTCATAGCAGTCAGGGTGTCATTGGATTAGTAATATCAGGGAGTACATTCCACCAGCTTTTTGAATAGTCCAACTTTGAACAACTCAGCAAATTCAGAATGTAACCTCAACAAGAAACTGAAGACTTGATACAGTTTGAACATGTTGCCAGCCAGATGTGAAAGGAGAATGAGCTCAGCTGTCAGAGGAATAAAGGGCTTAGGGGGGTGGTAGAGGACAGAAAATGGCTTGTCTGCTGGGTAATAAGGACATGCCTGCATAAATGTGGTTTGGGAGAAAGCAGAATATTTTTCCTGAAATGGTTCCTCAACACTTAATTGAAGTTCTGTAAGGTGTGTACAGGATGAAGTAGGTAGATGAATCAACTCTGAAAAATAAGCAAAGGTTGACTATTCTGACAAAACCAGGTTATTATGCAGCAGTTCTTACAGCCTGAACAGGTTTGCTGCAACACTTTCAGAATAGCCTGTGCATGGACTTATGTAAATTTTTAATTTGCACTGGCAGAAATCTGGGGAACTGTGAATAGCTTATTTTTAGACTGAGCTTTGTTAGGGTGTGTAGAAGTTGTTCCTTAGATGAGTGATGGAAAGGGGACATCACTCATCTTGCTCAGCAGTTACACTGAACAGTTAATGCTGAACAACCTCTTGCTCATATTAAGTTGTAGAATCTGGAGATCTGTTCTAAGAGAAAAAAAGAAAACAAAACTCCACAAAACTCACCAACAGAAAAACCCAAACAAGCAAACCAAACCCAAGAAAAACAAACAAAATCCCCTAAAACAAACAAAACCCAAACAAAACATATATCATTTATAATGTATGTAATTTTGAGAAAATTGGTCATGGACATAAATTACCATTCTAGAAAATGCTCCAAAATTGTCCATCTTCAAAAGCATCTCGAGTGTAGAATAAGAGGCATCAATCTATATGTGGTGAAAAAGAGCTGCAAGCTTGTGCTTCCTCTAGTGCTTGTACCCAGCCTCCGGGAGAGGTTGGGTATAAATTAATTTTAGATTATTCAGAAAGAAAATTTAGATCTGTCATGCCACTAGGTGGCATTATTGGTATGTAACCAGAGAATACTTGTAAAAGGTGTCTTTAGCTCCTTCCGCCTCTCACGCTTTAAGATAAGGTTTCATATTCTATGGGCATAAAAACTTTAGTTTTATTTTCATTGCAGACTCAGTAATTGAAAAAAATGAAGTCAAATACGTAAATTTTAAAGGTGTATTTAGACTGTTACATATCAACACTGTCTAGCTGTAAGATTGTCTTATTCTTTTTATTTATATGACAAACTTTTGCAACAGAATGTTACTGTTAATTTGATTTGCAAGATCAAACTCTCTCTGATTTTTGGCAGTGTCTGCAGTTTTTCCTCTAAAAGTAGAGAGCTGTTTCAGAGCAAGTGATTCAGGCTTTAGCAAATAGATATATGCCTTAACATTGGTTATAAAATGCCTATGTATTATTGCAGCTGAAGTAAATCCAATTATTATTATTATTGAAAGTCAAGCTCTGGAAAGAAAACTGTTGCTGCAAGTAAGAGCATTATTTTGGAAAGTCTAGAAAGACTTTTAAAAGTCTAAAGGTAGACCACACAGTTTATTTCAACACAGACTTGCAAGGACAGGTTTGTAATAGCCAAAGTATTAGTAGTCATATCCAAGGATGGTAAGAATCACCCAAAAGTCTTCAGTTGATGTAAGAAGTTACTGAAGACCTTAGTAGTACTAGACACTGGGAAAGATTGATGTCTTTGTAAAAAATGTTCATAACTGCTTTATAAGCATTTTTGTTGTCTTAACAGGGTAGCTTGATGTGTTCAATGAGCAGAGATATTTTTAATTGATTTGGCTCACGGAGACAATCCTGTATGTGTTGTCTCGCCTTATGGTAGGTTGATAACCTCAGAAAAAGAGTTCAGCGTTTTCTGAAAATTAGCATACAACTAACCATAAAGTATCTGTGGTGTTTGCAAGAGAAACCTTAAAAAAGGCAACTTCTCAGGAGTGCCATCTGAGGGGTCAGCTCTTGGGATACAGTTGTCACCTCTGTCTTCTTCCCCACATCATCTAATTATACTCTTCATACATATTCTGTGTATATATGTAATCTAATAATCTAAAACTAGTCAAGTTGATGCTTTTGTGTCAAGGAGTGATTTTCTTTGAAGGTGATGTGGATGGGATAAAAGGCATTTTAAATGGCACCTTTAAACTAATGTTTTTATCCTAGGTCTGTCTTCCTCCTCTTGCACGGGGAAGAAAGCAGTGGTTCAGGCTCAGTGATTTAGGGTAGATTTTGTAAAGCAGAATGCACTGAAAATACTGTAGACAGTCCTAGAGGGAGCTACTTAGCATTTGATTTCTATTTCCTTTGTACCTAGTGTTGGGATTGAATGACATCATTGTCATGCCTTGTGCTGGACACTGTATTGAGACAGGTTAATGGATTTGAGACTTTAGTACACCATTTCCTGCTGTCATCATGCTTTGAGGTAGAGAAAGAGGTGGGATATTTAATTCATACAGAAAACATTTCTTGTTTTGATGTTGATATGGTACATTGTAGTTTCAGGGTGTTTCTTTTAGGCCTTTCTTTTGTTACCTCTTGTTCAGTGTTAGTTGTATAGATGAGTTGGGCACTTCTCTCAGCCTACTTAGCTGTGTCCAGATGGCTGTACCAGCTTTCCATACCTCTGAAATTCTTACTTTCTGTGCATTATTTCCCATCTTGACTATAGGTGACATTCTGACCCCTGCTTCACCACTGTTCAAACACAGGTGCACAATCTCTGAAATGAGATGGGAGATTGAATCCTGTTTTGGACAATGGTGGAGATTTGGAGCCTTCCAGAGATTCTTCCTCTTACCAAAAAGAAGCAAAAATCCACATACAGAAGACTGAATCTGTACCTTTTTTTTTTTTTCCAGATAATTCTCAGAGCTTTTATGTAATCTTGTATCAACATTTGCATCTGAAGCAGGGCAGGTGCTCTAGCTTTAGAGAAGTTCTATTCCTATTGATTATTTTTTTATTTTTTTATTTTTTTAAAAAATTCCCAAACTAAAGAATGCAGTATTCCAGCCGGCACATCCCAGAAGTGGTGATCACTATGAAATCTAGTGTCTGTGTCACTTCCTTAGACCTCTCACTCATGGAAGGTCTCACTGGTCTTTTTTGGTTTCCCAAAAGAGACCTATTGGCTCTTCAGCTGATACTCCCTTAGTTACTAGTTCTTGTGACTTTTCTTAAAATAACCTTTTGCTTAACTCCTAACCACTGATCATATAGAGTATTTACTACAGATTTGTCTGCTGGGCAGAGTTTGGTTGAGACTGTTGCAGGAGACAGTAGGAATTTGCATTCTGAAAAGCCACTCTTATTCTGTATATTCTTTTGAGGAGGTTATAATAGTTCAGAAAGTGTTTGCAAAATTACCTGCTTACCAAATTCAGTTCTTGCCTATACTATATTCCTTCTGTGTTAGAAGACTGACAAGACTTAGTTTGTTAAAGACTTCATTATCAGGAATTAGGCTTGTTCTGTTGACTGCTCTCTCTTTTGTAAATAAGGAAAACACAAAGATTGTGTCAGAAGGTGGTAGAGCACTTAGAGTGGATGGGATTTCTGCTTCTGAAGCTAGGAGAACCTCAGGCCATCCTCTTTGACCTGAAGTGGCAAATTCAGAGCTGTTACTGTTCCATGAACTGGAGCAGTGAGCTCTTGCAGAGATCTACTGCTTTGTCTGTAGAGGGCAGTCCTTTATCTACTGTTAGATGTGCTGTGTCTTCCTGTGGCATCTCAGGCTGTTTAAAATGTTCATAATTAACTGTATCACCAGTCCTCTTTACCGCTAAAATTCTGCAAAGAAATCTGTCTTCTTGGTAAAATGATTTATTTCTATATGCAAGCAAAGGTCCAGTTCAGAAGGCCTCCCCTAAATGTAGCCAGTAACCAAAAGCTATTTACTGCACACTGTATGAAGAGAACACTTACATGGAACAGTTTGTAGGCAGATAAATAGCAGATTTTGTTAAAGGGTACTGCTTCTTCTGCTGTGCAAGTGTTATTCTGCATTACTCCTTGATCCTGTCTGTATCATAGAAACACAGAATAGTTAGGGTTGGAAAGGACCTTAAGATCATCAAATTCCAACCCCCCTGCCATGCGCAGGGACACCTCATGCTAAACCATATCACCCAAGGCCTCGTCCAACCTGGCCTTGAACACTGCCAGGGATGGAGCATTCACAACCTCCCTGGGCAACCCATTCCAGTGCCTCACCACTCTAACAGGAAAGAATTTCCTCCTTATATCCAATCTAAACTTCCCCTGTTTAAGTTTGAACCTGTTACCCCTTGTCCTATCACTACAGTCCCTAATGAAGAGTCCATCCCCAGCATCCCTATAGCCCCCCTTCAGATGCTTGAAGGCTGCTATGAGGTCTCCACGCAGCCTTCTCTTCTCCAGGCTGAACAGCCCCAACTTTCTCAGCCTGTCTTCATATGGGAGGTGCTCCAGTCCCCTGATCATCCTCGTGGCCCTCCTCTGGACTTGTTCCAACAGTTCCATGTCCTTTTTTATGTTGAGGACACCAGAACTGTACACAGTACTCCAGGTGAGGTCTCCCAAGAGCAGAGTAAAGGGGCAGGATCACCTCCTTGGACCTGCTGGTCATGCACTGGCTTTCTTAGCTTTCTAGAAAACACATGATGTATGCATCAAAAGCAGCTTTTCTGTGTCAAGCACTGTTGGGTATTAGTCTATTCTAGAATGTCTTATTTTGAAAAATCATGTCAGCTTGCACTTGAGACTGTTTACATGCATCTCCAGTACAGCCGTATTTTCCCTTTCTAGAGGCAAATAATTTACTTTGAAAATGTGCTAATTACTGTAAGAGTGTAGTTGAAAATATGACAGTCTATATTTATGCTCAAATATCGTATTTATAGTTTGACTTTTTTTTTGTTTTATATTCTTAGATCTAAGTGCCTCCTCCCCTTCCCTCCTCCCCTATACACACTAGCCCACAACTAATAAGAAATGAATTAGCTTATTGAAATGCAATATAAACTTCTTTCAGCTGTTGCCAAGACAAGGCTTAATCTTGTTAGAGAATGTAGCTTTAATATATAACCAACTAGAAGAGGTTTACTGCAAATGCTACAGAAAGTGACTATTAAATTTACTAGATACTAAACTTTTCATACTTTTCACCTATACACCTCAGGTGTGCATTGCTGTGGTCTAGAAATGTATCATTATCTTCTGTTAGGAAGCATTCTGGAACTTCATCTTGATGGAGCTCTGTTTCCCCATAGGTTTAATGGTTGCTTATAAGTTACTAAGAGTAATCTTCCAAACTGGTGTTGTTTGGGAGACTGAGAATTTAAGTAGTAGTTACATCGTTCTATATAAATTTATGTTGTTCTTTATTTGGCCTTTTCCCATGGCTTTTGAGGTCTTCAGAATGGGGGGTGGGAGGGGTGGAAGACTTGCCAGAGCTAGCAATATTATGTTTTTGTTTTGAAAAGGAAGAAGAGTCAAAAAAGAGCCAGCAAAGCTGTTTGCAAACTTGTGGTTTTAATTTCTACATGCTGTTACACTCACCATATGCTGGCCACAGAGTACAGGGATATTCAGATTGCAGTGTTTGCTGTTAGAGTAACTAACAAATAATTAGTAAAATTCCTTTGAGAAACTGAGCTGTCAGTCACTTGCAAAGTGAAGTTAATAAGATAAGACAAACAAACAGCAAAGCCACACTCACAAAAGTATTCTGAAACCAGAGCATTGTGAGCCTTTGATGAAAGTTCAAGTGCACATGAGGAAAAGGGTTGCACATGACGTAAATGAGAAAACAGTAGGATGCACTTGGGCAGAGGCAAATTGAAAACACCCCTTGGAAAAATAAAACAATTAAAAAAACACAGCACACCACAGCTCTTCCCCCACACACACACACACCAAAAAAACCCTAAAACTGAACCCAAACCCACCACCAGATGCCCTCAGTTTTGTCTTTTTTCTCCCCCCACCCCCATTGTTAAGCAGTTATGCTCTTTCCTATTTAGAATGATACCTTTTATAGCTTGACTTTGACTTTGCTTCAAACTGTGAATTGTGTTATTCTTATTCCAGTTACATTTGTCTTTCCTTGCCAGTTTGTGCCGCAGACAGACGTACTTTGCAGTTTCTGTATAGAGCCAGGTTGGTTCAGATGTGCGATTAACTCGGGCACAGCACCACAGGAAATGTTAATGTAGTTTGAAGCATAGCGTGTGCTTTTCCCTTCATGCGGATTCAACATAGCTGTTTGTATTCACAGGATGAAATTAATAAGGAGGTTGGAAGCCATCTGATCTAACCTTACAATCAAACAGAGCCAGCTTCGAAGCACAAAGTCTTCAGTAGTTGAATTTTTCTGTATATCTCCAGGCAACCTCCCAGACAACCTGTTGCTGTGCTTTACCGTTCTCATTGTGACTTTTCTTTCCTCATATCTGGTTGGAATTTGCTGTGCAACAACTTGTGACTGTTCTCTCTTTTCCTTTTGTCGTGTGCTCTGTAAATCTCTAGAACTCTCCACTTAACAGAAGGCAGAGATTAGGTTCCCACAAATAACACCCCAGTCCTTTTCTGCACATCGAACCCTGATGTGTGCTGTTGCATGGAGTCACAACATTTTTGCATGGTTTTTTTTTTACGTCGTAAATAATTTTAAGAAACAACTTGATAGCATAAGGAATTTATTCTTAAACACACCAGAATGAAGTGCTGCAGACAGACGTACTTTGCAGTTTCTGTATAGAGCCAGGTTGGTTCAGATGTGTGATTAACTCTGGCACAGCACCACAGGAAATGTTAATGCAGTTTGAAGAAGCATAGCGTGTGCTTTTCCCTTCACGCAGATTCAACATAGCTGTTTGTATTCACAGAATGAAATGAATAAGGAGGCTGGAAGACATCTGATCTAACCTCTGAGTGCATCTGAAGTGTCAATAGGTGGTCAAGATGATTGTGGGGAGTCTCAGAGCAATACTGTTCTGTATGAAGTTTTCCTACTGAAGTGTTCCTAGAAGTTGTTGTCTTAGGAAAAACCTGATGACATGAATGGTTATAAATCACCTTGTCCAGATAATTATCTTATCTGAGTTCCTAAAGGGCCTAGCAATGGTACTTCTGTGCTGCTAACTCAATATATGTGTAATTCATATAATACCAGAAGGATAGAAAGCCACATTTTGTACACCAGTTTCTGAAGGGCTCAGGTAACTGCAGATGAATAAACTTTAGTTAGGCACATTGGTTGAGCACATAACAGAGGAGTAAGACATGGACAAACATGATAATGGGCAGGCATTAACAGGGCTTTTCTAGAGGGAGAGGAAAAGGGAGGTTGTGAAGTTAATGTCTTTTCAAAGTCATGCTTTGAAAGAGTCAACAACCTTGTGGATAAGGGTTATCTTATCAGTGCCATGTCCTTGGATTTCTTAAAAAATATCAAAAAGCCTTTGGCTATCAAGGTCCTTAATCAGCCTGTTAAAGAACCTAAGGTGTCATAATGGGACAGTCCTCTCCTGGATTAATAATTTGGTGAAAACCAAGCTAGATACAGTAAGTGTCCCAAGTGGAGCTATTAGCACTCTAGAAGATCTTGAAGTCATGGCAGGGTATGTTATTCACATGTTGTATCAGGGTTTGGTGAGGAACAAGCACATTGAATTTTGTGAATTGTTTGGAATAGAACAGGCAATAAAACAGAAAACAAGTTGTGGAGTTTTCTGCTATAGCAAAGGAATGCCATATGCTGTTGTAGCATATGGCATTCCTTTGTCATGACCAATGTGTCCATACCTGTCCTCTGTAAAAATAAATCTCAAAGGCTAGGAGAACTAGAAAGTGTGTGGGCAACACGAACCATCAGAGGTAAGGAGAGGTGATCAAATAAATGATGTGTTTTAACACTGGAAAGCACTTACAACTCTGTTTTTTTTACTGGAAATACAATCTTCAGATTGCTTTGATGTTTTTAAAGCAGTGAGAGGATGTTAAAAAAACACATCCAGGACCTCCAGGAAGCTGAGAAGATACACAAGCACTAATAGCCAGTGTAGTTTTTATTGCTTTGCTGTGTTCTGCAGAGAAGAGCACACAGAAAACAGGCTGTGCTAGTGGTCGGTGTACTTGAAGGGACAGGAAAGAATAACAGACATCTATTACAAACTAGATAGCTGCTGACTTTCTGAAAGAACACTGGAAAGTTGGTTAATAATGGAAGAACACAGTCTGCTGCATGCAGGTTTGGAGGACTGAGAATAGCTTCTTGTGTGAAGCTATTGGTTTGATGCGGTGTAGTAATAGCAGCTAAGAAGTACAAGCCTTTTGGAAAGCGAAGGCTTAAACAAGATTGGAGTTGTCTCAATTCTCTGTGGACTTGCCTGAATGAGTAAGAGGGATGGTAGCCATGAAGGACTCATTAGGGCCCCCCTGATGAAATTGTAAAAATGTTTGCTCATTGCTTTTGTATTGTATAACATGGAAAAGGAAGCAGAATGGGAGTTGTGCCAAGCCCTTCTGGCCTCATTGGCCCCTTTAAAAGTGATCCGAGGGAAAGAACTGCTGATGTCTGCCCTTGACAACCGCATGACAGATGTCTCCAGTATTTTAAGACTTGTTTGTCCCATTATTCTTTTTTCTGCAGTCAGTCTTTGTTGCTTCTTTTCTTTGTTTTGTTTTTAAACTGGCTTGGAGCATCAAATTGCTGGATACCTGGGTTGGTATTTGGTAGCTGAATTTTTGGTTTACGTGGCTTATCTATTGATGCTCACTGTGGATAGCTTATGAACAGAGAGAGAGCAGCTTTCCTTGCAGGGTTAGTCTACTGTGTTGTATGTATTTTGCTTGAAGACTTTTGTTCTGTAATTCCCTCCTTCAGGTTGGAGGGGATACTTAGGGGAAAGTTGGGAATACTCCCTTGGAAAGGTGGGTGCTAGCCAAAGTTTATTTCTTGGAGCCCAGCATATCTCAGATGGATATGTCCTACCCTGGGACATTCGGCGTGTTTTTCAGGTGGTGTGGGAAGAGATTTCAATTGCTACAAAGAACAGGGATAGAAGAGGAGATGATTACGCTGTCAGATGCCCATTGCCTCTGCCACTACGCTTTGAGAGAAAAATCGGGTTACAGAAAATTAAAACATGTTCATACTAGCCTACTGACTTACAAAGTTACATAGGAGAAAGTTTGAGAGAACGTACTATGAATCTTGATTTCTTCTTTTGGTTCAAATGTGTGAATGTTACTTTTATATTGACTCTCTATGCAGTTTAGAGCTAGTTTCTATTAAGATGCATTGGTAGTATAGATGAAACTGGAATTACTAAAATAATACAATGTGGCTGACCTGAAGCTATCTACTTGTATTTTAGGGGTTGTTTCTCTATTGGCTGTTCATCCTTCTACAGTAAATACGCTTGGAAAACAGCTCCTGCCAAAAACATTCGGACAGTCTAATGTCAACATTGCACAACAAGTGGTAAGGAGACACTGGGGTTTTTGTATTGCTTATACTATTGCTTACACGTACTGTAGATCTGACCTGTAGGTTGGTAGTTGGTACCACTTGTCATCAGTAGACAGTCTAAGCTTGTTTCTGATTTCAATAAACTTATGTTAACACAAATGTACTTTTGCATAAAGAAATGCAAAGATGACTCTCAAAGCAACATGCAGATACCTGAATATTCAGGTAACTTTATCTTTTGCTAGTCTTGCCACTTAAAATCAGTGGCTCACTCAGACTCTGCTTGGGAATCTGACATAGGGAAATGTAAATGAAGTCCAACAACACATGCTTATTGAGCTTGAAGTTTGTTGGAATGAAATTGAAAACAGAGCTTTTCTTAGTGCATAATTTAGATACCCTTTTGCTTAAATACTTAATGTGAGCTTTGAGTGAGGAACATGAAATTAAGAGGTTTTGAAGAACTAGTAAAACAGTAAATAATACAAAGATTATGAGAATTAAATTATAGTGATGAAAATTTAGTGATATGAAAGGAGCTGATCTCAGTTCATCTTCTGGAAGGCAACTGTAACATGTAAACATCTGAAATGGAATTTCTTATGTTGGGGGTCCTTCTTGACAGGAAAGCAGTTTCCCATCTGCCTTTCCCAGCTCTAAGCTTTAAGGAGTGTTCTATAATTGAGGCTGCATGAATCTATAAACTCTACCTCTTCAGCTGTACAGATGTAGTTCAAATCATTCACTGCACTGTATTTCCAGCAGTGGTGTGAATAAACTACTTGCCAGCAGCCACTTGGAAGTGTTGCTAAATGAGTTTAACTGAATGAAATTGTTCCTTCAGTTGGAGGTCTGTTATCAGTAAATTTCCAAATGAGGAAATTCAGAGTAGGTAGGCATTCTTGTAATTTAAAATCAGTAACCAGCAGTAGGAAAATAATACTTTAACTAAATATCATAGGCCATAATGGCGCAGAGGGGGCCCCTGCTGGGCATTGCTGTGGGACTGTGTACACACTTCAGTTTAATGTTGTAAATGAAATGTTCTTTCGAGTAACTGAGGAAATATTTCCTTGAAGTACCAAAACAAGGGGATAACAATGAAATTACAAATCATCTGATGCTTTTTTGAACTTTAAACCGTCAGAAAATTAATTTTTACAACGATGTTGATATACCTGTAAAATAAATTCTTGTGTCTTCCATCACAAGTTTAAATTGACAAATCCTCATCTGTATTATATTATTCTGTGGTATTATCTATGATTAATTTTACATGGTATTCTTATTAAAAAAAGATGTGATTCTAAAGTAACAACTACTCTTAATGGTGGTTTTGTTAGTATGATTAGTGTGGGAAATTTACATTTGGCAATCATAATTTTCAGCACTTCCTTACTCAAAACATACTAGCATTAAATCGTTTGTGAAAGGAGGGGCCCATATCAACATATTTGCATTGGCTGTTACCAGTTCAGAATTAGATGCTTAGTTGTATGTCATTAAAGAAGAGATGGAGGTTTTTGCTTGTGTATATATAGAGAGAAATTTTGGGGAACTATTTCTGTTGACTTTACAGTCCTTAAGGGGATAGCCAGAACTATAAAAAAAAAAGTGCCTTTAGAACCCTGAAAACAAAGGGGAGTTGAATTTTCTGTCAATATTCAAAACGTTCTTGGGAAGCAGAACTGAGGAGTTGGCTTGTGATCCTGCTCAACTTTCTAACCTTTGAGTGGTAAACTCACATTTTTAATACTTAAGTACTTCATTTTCTGAACCTGTGTTCTTTGTTCAGGTAGTCTTTCTTTTGCATAAGTCTGTTCATGTAAGTTTTTCTGTTAAGAACAGCAAAGTGGAGTGTATGGGCTGTCTTGCTGCTTTCCCAGTTGTCCTGAACTTCTTTATTATTGAGGAGCTAAACTGTAATCTTGTTCCTTTTTGAAATCAGGAAACTGAAGAGAAACCAGAAGTCCTTCTTTTTTCTACACCCCCTACCTATCCCCGATTGTCTAAAACCATCCTCTCTAATTCTGTCTACAAGCTTTAATTTTAGGATGTTCCCAGTGACTCTTTTTGTTGATGCTCTTTTCATTGAAAGTCATCGTTGCTTATGAACTTGAGAGTAAAAATAGAGGCATCAGTGTTTCTATTAAGGAGCCAATAATACTAGGTAATTCCTTAGGAGATTGTGAAACTCCAGACTCTAGGGTCTTCCTTAATAGCAGTACATTAAAGCCTACAATTCTGGCTGGTTTGCAGACTTTGGTGAGTTAGAATGTGGGGCAGGTTTTGAATGTATTAAACAGAGTTCACTTTTCCACTTGAGAAATGAGCCTGTGAATTTGTACCTGCTTCCTACTTTATTCCTTTTTTCTTGCTTTTGCTTCCTGCTTTTTCCTTTGTATTCTTGAACACTTCAAGACACTATAGAGTGTGGTACATGTACAGGGTTTGCTGCTACCAGATGGTTTATTTTCTTCTTTCCCCTGGCTTTCATGTTACTGCAGTTGTACAAATTCTAGGTGTGGCACCAACGTGATGGTGGAGCTGCTTGTGGAATTAGGAAGCTAGGGAATAAAGTGAGACCCTCTGGTTTTTGCTCCTGCAAGCAAGATGTTAATCATCTCTTCTAGTCCTCTGTAACTACATTCTAAGGAATAAAAACTGGCTAACAGCTTTCCTCTGTGGTCTGTATTGTCTGTTACTTGAGTAGCACACAGGTGGTTTTCAGAGTCTTTTGAGATGTGGTGAACCAGACCAGTCAGCAGCAGAACCGGCAGTATTTTTTTCATGGGGAGAAGGTGAGCTGGTTTGCGTGTCTCCTGTGCCTGTTTGGCATCCCACACCCTCATTCTGTTTCCCACAGTCAGAAGTCTCAGTTATGAAAAGTAGTAGAGGAGATGAGATGACTTTCCATAAGAATTAGAAACAATTTAAGTATGGAAAAAAGCTACAGGAAAGAGGAGGGGGACCTGAGATTTTCCAGCTGTCAGAAGAAGGTGTAATGAACTTATATGCTAACTACTCAGGTGGCATTATATAAAGAAACAGTAGTATGGGAAAAATCACAGGCAGCTAAAATCTGACGCATCTAATAGTCACTAGACTGCTTTTAGCGTTCTATATTTAAACATTATTCAAATTTGGTTTATTTTAACTTTAATGCATAAAATGTTTCATTTGGTTTTTTTCAGGTTTTCTATTTTACTCTTTGAGGCTAAGGTATTGAACGTAGCCTGAGAAAGAAATTTTTGTTGGTGAGGCAGAATGTGGCTGAAGAGCGTAGCAAGCTTGTGGGTGTAGGTTCATTTGATGTTTGTTTCATATGATGCCAGGGATGCAACATACTGTTTCCACTGGGAGGCAGACATACCCCCCAGAAGTTGTCATATCTTTCTACAGAATAGAAATCTGTACAGTATCATTTTGTTTTCCTAAAAGCATATTTTCTAGAGTGTTACATTTATAACATTTTGGAGATAGAAAACATCATCTGCAAAAGTGGAAGTTCTGCTTCAGCAAGTTTCAGTTAAGGAGAATATGGCTTCATGTGCAAATGTGTGTATTAATTTGTGATCAGAATAGCACATCTTCAGGACTAAGACTGTGATCAGCTGAGTGTGTTTCGCATAACATGTTCAGGGTGCAGTTATTCTGCCCAAATTGGTCTAATTCACTGCAGTGATAGAGAAAGTTGGCCCTTATTCTTCCTCACCTCTTAACATTTTGGTTCTCACTCTGTAGTAATAGAGACTTGACTGCAGAAATTGGCCTTTCTGGCAGCATCTCTGCATTTTCTTTCTGCTTTTACTGATTTTTAGATCCTACTTCCTGTATTTACTGCAACTTCTGGTAGGATTTGGGGTTTCTCCCCTTACCTTTATCCCTTTTTTCTATTGGTGGTGAGGACCTGTGTGTGTTGATCTTGTCAAAGTTAGTGTTGAATAATGTTAAGAAATTCAGGAAGCATGAAAAATCATGTAAGGATAATACATAAATACTACATAGGAAGTGCACTAACTATATAATCTGTAGTCTGAAGGGTTTTATACTAATGTGCATAAAATCAATGCATGCAGTAGAAGTAGGCAGAAGTGTTTGCATCGTGCATCATTTGAATCATGCAGTGTATGAATATCTTGTAGTACTTCCGATAATTTTCCAAATTATTTTATCTTTACTGTAGGTTATTGGTACACCTCAGAGACCTTCAGCGCCAAATACTATCCTGGTAGGAAGTCCACATACGCCTAACACACATTTTGTATCACAGAACCAGACTGGCGATTCTTCACCGTGGTCTGCTGGGTGAGCAAAATACAAGTTACAAAGGATTAATACATTATTTGGAACCTTTGTTCTAAAGGTTAACTGTGGCAGTGTATATACTTCTCAGGCTAGTGGTGTGAGAGACGTGTGTTCACCTTTCCATCCAGAGCACTTCAACATTAAGTATGTTGTATTAAGTGAGGAATAGTTGCACAAGAATGAATACTCCCTCATTTGTCACAAAAGGAATGAGAATATTTTCTGTGAACACTGATAGATATCCTCACATTACTTACATTTAGAGGATTTTGCTCCTAAAAGAACACGAGTTCATGTGACTTGATTAAGCTTTTAATTTGACATTGCTGGTTTGCTGGTTTATTAAAAAAAATAAAGCGCCTTTTGGATTGAACAAGTGTATCATGAAGTATCATGTGAAATAAGGATGTAGTCCTTATTGCAGAAAAAGTATTAGATAAAATTAATGCATTCTTCTGGTGTCTTGTCTCATGCAAGCATGCTTTTAAGAGTCTCTTGTGAAATGTAGGGGTTCTTTTTAGGACTAAATTTATCATCAGTGTCTCGTTACACATAAATAGATTTCTAGTTTGGAATTGTAGTGAGTGAGATGTAGAGAATTAAGAGAGGTTCCATTGCTGATAGTAATTTTGTTGATATTTACACTTTTCCTCAAGTTACAAGGAACTTTCTGTTGATACTTACACTTTCCCTCAGGTTCAAGGAGCTTTTTATTTAAAAAATATGCAGAAAACTTTTATAGTTACTATATTTTGTGACTGAAGTTTTCATAGCAACTTCATATACTGTGTAACTTCAGATCTGTATTTTGGTAATTATGGAATGTGTAGTGAGTTGAGGCAATATCAGACTTCATCTGTTCAGTCGGTATCAGACTTATACAGAAAATGCTCAATCAAGTCTTTTTTTTTTTTTGTGGTCAACTTAGGTTAGTTATATCTTGTATTTCACCTTTCATATTTTAGCATTTATCCCTCTATTCCTTCTTTTTCTTGATTGGAAGATTAAAAGGGTTTTTTTATTGACTTCTTCAAGGGATATATCCCTGTTAAATTATCTGCTACTGGAGCTAGCAGAGTTGACAAAAGAATGAATTTGTACTGTGTTTCAGCATCAAGACACTAGAATTGTTAATTATTTTAAATTGTAGGGGAAAACATCATAGGAAAAAATATTGGGAAGGGGTAAAAGCAGAACAAAAGGGAAAGCTTGGTTTTATGCAGCAGTGTGCTTGTATTTGAAAAAGAGACATTAAGTATTCCAAAGTTAAAATCATCTTAAAATATGTATTATGCATATATTTAGGAAGCGGAACAAAAAAGGAGAGAAGAATGGCAAGGGTTTACGTCATTTCTCTATGAAGGTTTGTGAGAAGGTACAAAGAAAAGGAACTACCTCATACAATGAGGTGGCAGACGAGTTGGTTGCAGAATTCAGTACCACTGATAATCACATTTCACCAAATGAATCAGTAAGTATATGGGAGGTCAGTTCCATGTGAACTGAATGGGGGAAGAGAAATTCCTTATGAGACTTTTCTATCTTTTCCTGCTGCTAAATTAAACAGTTCAGACATTACCTAAGTTTACCCATTTACTGTGATGTATTTATCTTCAAATATTTTTGCCACAAGTATGTTTGATTAATGAACTATGTCTATAGCAGGCTTATGACCAGAAGAATATTAGACGACGTGTCTATGATGCCTTAAATGTCCTTATGGCCATGAACATAATCTCTAAGGAGAAGAAGGAAATCAAATGGATTGGTCTACCTACTAACTCGGCTCAGGAATGTCAGAATTTAGAGGTATATTTATTAGGAAGTTCACAGTGTCTTTGTGTCTGAGTAAATGTTTACATCCTTAATTTCTTCTGATACAACAGAATGTATTCTTGCTATCTCCTGAAATAACAAGGTACAATAGTATGATCCCTTTAGACTCTCTTGTTTGTATTTACAGAATGCACATTTAAACTTCCAGACTGTTTTAATGTTTTTAGTTGGTTTATGGTGGTTTTTTTTATTTTATTCTTCTATGTCAGAAATACAGCTCTGTCACAGCTTTTAGAGTATATGTGAAGTGAATGGAAGTTAACCAAATTGAAAGATTAATGTGTATTTCCAGCATTGCAGTAGTGGTGCTAAAGAGTTGTGAAGATTGTTTTCTCCAGAGGCCAGACAAATAATACATCTATGATGATAGATTTTGCATGTAGTTCACCATATATATGCATTGCTGCTCCTGTACTGCTGCAGGACTTAAGTACTTATGATATGTAACAGCCCTCAGTTAATTTTTCTTCTTAGTTTTTACTTTGTACAAGGTTTGCTTTTACTATTGAGTCATTTGTGGCAGTGAGTATCAGGTGCATTAGAATCTTCTTAGTCCCTCGCCTAGTAATTCAAATTTTTGGCTCCTGGGGTGTACTGAGCTGAATGTTTTTCTAGATGCTGTAATTTGAGATCTCTATTGAATGTCATTTTATTTCTAAAATATGCATGAATGGGATTATGTTTTCTGACACATACGCATTACCAAAAATAATTTCAGTGATGTAATCACTCAATGCTACAAGACACTTTCAAGAGTGTTTTATGATGAGCTCTCTTACTATGACAGGTGACCCAGCATTGTCAGCACATGCTGACATCATTTACAGATAGGAACAGCCTCACGCTTGCAGGCCCTTGTCCTCATGAGGGGACTTAAACCATCCTGATATCTGTTGGAGGGTTGGTACGGCCCAGCACATCCAATCCAGGAGGTTCCTGGATTGTCCTGAAGAAAACTTCCTCCTGCAAGTAGTAGAGGAGCCAACAAGGAGAGGTGCCATGCTTGACCTCGTGCTCACCAACAGGGAAGGGCTTGTTGGAAATGTGACACTCCAGGGCAGCCTTGGTTGTAGTGATCATGAGGTGGTTGAGTTTGAGATCCTTAGGACAGTGAGAAGAGTGTGCAGCAAGCTCACTGCCCTGGACTTCAGGAGAGCAGACTCTGGCCTCTTCAGGAACCTGCTTAGTAAGGTTCCATGGGATATAGCCCTACAAAGAGGGCAGGGGGGCCCAAGACTTTTGGTTGATATTCAAGGTTCACCTGTTAAAAGCTCAGGAGTGTTGCATCCTGACTAGAAGGAAGTGCAGCAGGAGGACCAAGAGACCTCCATGGATGGATAAGCAGTTGCTGAGGAAACTTAGAGAGGAAGCAAGGACAGGTGGCTTGGGAAGAATACAGGGATGTTGTCTGGGAAGCTAGGGACCAGGTTAGAAAAGCTAAGGCCCAGTTAGAATTAAATTTGGCTAGGGATGTTAAAGATAACAGGAAGGGAATCTGTAGGTACATTGTGAGTAAAAGACAGACTAGGGACAATGTGGGCCCCCTCCAAAAGCTATCAGGAGAACTGGCTACCCTGGATTTGGAGAAGGCTGAGGTTCTTAGTGACTTCTTTGCTTCAGTCTTCACTGGAAATACTCTGACCACACCACCTAAGTCTTGGAAGGCAGATGCAGGGACTGTGAGAATGAAGACCTTAGGCCCACTGTAGGAGAGGATCAGGTTCAAGAGCATCTTAAGAACCTGAACGTGCACAAGTCCATGGGTCCTGATGAGATCCATCTGCGGGTCCTGAAGGAGCTGGCAAATGAAGTTGCGAAGCCGCTGGCCATCATATTTGAGAAATCATGGCAGTCAGGTGAAGTTCCTGATGACTGGAAAAAGGGAAATATAACCCCCATTTTCAAGAAGGGGAAAATGGATGAGCCAGGGAATTACAGACCAGTCAGTCTCACCTCTGTGCCTGGCAAAATCTTGGAGCAGATTCTCCTGGAAGGCATGCTAAGGCACATGGAAATCAACAAGGTGCTTGGTGACAGCCAGCATGGCTTCACTAAGGGGAAATCCTGCCTGACCAATTTGGTGGCCTTCTATGATGGGGCTGCAGAACTGATGGACAGGGGTAGAGCAGTTGAGGTCATCTACCTGGACTTGTGTAAAGCGTTCGACACCGTCCCACACGACATCCTTGTCTCTAAATTGGAGCGACATCAATTTGATGGATGGACCACTCGGTGGATAAAGAACTGGCTGGATGGCCGCACACAAAGAGTTGTGGTCAATGGCTCAATGTCCGGCTGGAGACCAGTAACGAGTGGTGTCCCTCAGGGATCGGTGTTGGGACTGGTCTTGTTCAACATCTTTGTTGCTGACATGGACAGTGGGATTGAGTGCGCCCTCAGCAAGTTTGCCGATGACACCAAGCTGTGTGGTTCGGTTGATACCCTGGAGGGAAGGAATGCCATCCAGAGGGACCTTGACACGCTTGTGAGGTGGGCTGATGCCAACCTCATGAAATTTAAAAATGCCAAGTGCAAGGTCCTACACCTGGGTCGGAGCAATCCCAGGCACAGCTACAGGTTGGGCAGAGAAGAGATTCAGAGCAGCCCTGCTGAGAAGGACTTGGGGGTGTCGGTCGATGAGAAAATAAACACGAGCCGGCTTCAGTGTGCGCTCGCAGCCCACAAAGCCAACCGTATCCTGGGCTGCATCAAAAGGAGCATGACCAGCGGGTTGAAGGAGGCGATCCTGCCCCTCTGCTCTGCTCTTGGGAGACCTCACCTGGAGTATTGTGTGCAGTTCTGGTGTCCTCACCATAAAAAGCACATGGAACTGTTGGAACAAGTCCAGAGGAGGGCCACAAGGATGATCAGGGGACTGGAGCACCTCCCATATAAAGACAGGCTGAGAAAGTTGGGGCTGTTCAGCTTGGAGAAGAGAAGGCTGCGTGGAGACCTCATAGCAGCCTTCCAGTATCTGAAGGGGGGCTATAGGGATGCTGGGGAAGGACTCTTCATCAGGGATTGCAGCAACAGGACAAGGGGTAATGGGTTCAAATTTAAACAAGGGAAGTTCAGGTTGCATATAAGGGAGAAGTTCTTTACTGTGAAGGTGGTGAGGCACTGGAAATGGGTGTCCCAAGAAAGCTGTGAATGCTCCATCCCTGGCAGTGTTCAAGGTCAGGACAGAACCTTGGGTGAGATGGTTTAGTGTGAGGTGTCCCTGCCCATGGCAGGGGGTTTGGAATTTGATGATCTTAAGGTCCTTTCCAACCCTAACTATTCTGTGGTTCTGTGCTGTCATGTTGCTATTCATTCTCTTATTCTGATCCACGGTAATTTGAGTAACAGTCTGTAAATGAAGTCCTTGTTGGAATCTGCTGGTGAGCTTCCCACACTGAGAAAGCTGTTTATTTCCTACCGTTTTGTCTCCTATGTTTTATGGTATTTCTTTGTATGTATTTAATACTTTGAAGACTTAACCTTGGGCTCATGGAAACGTCATTTCTTTTAATCATCTTTGACGGATTGTCTCCAGTAGACTACATGAAGAGCCTCTTTGCCTCCTTGAATCTGGATGTTTTTCTGAGGCATAACTTCTGTTTGCAAAGATGTTTTTACCGTCTTCCAGATATATTTTACTTTATTCCCCAGTGTTCCAATTCTGCTCTTTGTTACAGTAGTACTGATGTGAGTCTCAATAGTTAGATCTCTAAATTATCACATTAGTGACTGACATCATATGCCCTACCTACAGTTCTTTGGTATTGAGATGATTTTCAGGGGAGAAAATGTTGTTATAAAATGCTATGTAAAACCAATAAACCAAGAAAACCTTTTTCTGTCCTAAGGTGGAGAAACAGAGAAGACTGGAGAGAATAAAGCAAAAACAGTCCCAGCTACAAGAACTCATTCTACAGGTACAGTCAAGGTACTCTTGTCTATAGGGCAAGGTAACTTATATATATTCCTGTTGTTTTATCCCAGTGAGGGATGGGAAATTTCTACGAGGTGAATTTCAGGGTAAAGCATATGAAGTTTTAATTTTGCACTGTAGTTTAGCTGGAACTGTGCTGTTGCACATTGCTGTTGGGAAGCCAGCAACTTTCCATGAGTTATGATAAATTATGTTGCAGTTTAAAGTATGTTCAAACAGGTTTTATGCTGACAGGAGCTGTAATTCATACTCTGCTCTCTGAATTTTCCAGTTGAGTTCCTGTATCTAGAATGTTTTTCTGTGCTAGAGTCCATAGGTAAAATTAGACGACTGTAGAGGCCGTGTCTCATAATTCTCTGTGTCTTACCTTTCTGGGACACGACTGCTTGTGCTGTGTAAGTAGGTTCACCACTGTAAAGCAGTTGCTGAGCTCCTTCCCCCTAGTATACTGTGTGATAGGAATGAGAATCTCAAGGAGAGTATGCAGAAAGAAAGTACAGACAGCTGTGGGACAGCAACCTCAACAGCTGTCTGATTTTTTTATCAGCCTCTGTGGTGGCTTTAGATTTTGTTTTTAAATTTTGTTTGTTTAATTTGATTCCATGACTAGAAAAATACTTTTTCTTAGTTTGGTGTCTTAATAAAAGATTTATACTTGAGTTTCAGTGATTAACTTGAGTTTTAGTTCCTACAACTGCCAGTCTTTAAAATGTGAATATTCCATTCTGAAAAGCAGTTTTGTTAAGATCTGAGAGTAAAGTCGCTAACCTAAACTGAGTAATTTGGAAACCTAACATCAGATATTCAAATTCCAAATGTTAACTGGCTTTTAGCATATAATTTCAGGAAAAAGACAGTATTAATCATTTGACTGTTCTTGTGGAGTGCAGTGGCTAACAGGGAATGGTGAACAGCGAAGTAGGATGCTATATGAAAATTCTTTCTCCTAATCACTGTTATTTCTTCATTCTGTCAAGGATCTGTCCAAGAAACTGTCCTGATGTAGTTATTAGAATATGCATTTTTATTTTCAGTGAAATTTTATTGCATTGCATTTTTCAATACTCTCATTTGTCTCCCTTCCTGCATCTTAACATGCAGGAATATGGTGATCATTCTGTCCTTTTCTGCATTTACTTGCTGCAGCTATTTTTTGTAGCTTGCTGGTATTCTTTATCTGAAGGATTTTGTTGTTAACAGGATCTTAAAAGTTTAATTCATACTTTTTGTATCACTATTGCTTTTTCTAGCAAATTGCCTTCAAGAACCTTGTTCAGCGAAACCGTCAAGCAGAACAACAGGCAAATCGACCACCACCTTCCAACTCTGTCATCCATTTGCCATTTATCATTGTGAACACCAGCAAGAAGACAGTGATTGACTGCAGTATTTCAAATGACAAGTGAGTTAACAAAGTTTTCTCTCAGGCTCTTGGTATTATGAGTTTTATGTCCATGCTAAAGCATTCATCTAGACTTGGTAAAGATGAAATACAAATAAATTTACTTGTGCGTTTTGTAGATTGAGAACATGCACTTTCAGACAGTTTTATAAAGCTTTTTAATAAATAGAATAATTGCATTCATAGAATCATAGAATACTTAGGGTTGGAAAGGACCTTAAGATCATCTAGTTCCAACCCCCCTGCCGTGGGCCAGGAAGCCTTACTCTAGACCATGTTGCCCATGGTTCTGTACAGCCTGGCCTTGAACACCACCTGGGATGGAGCATTCACGGCTTTCTTGGAACACCCATTTCCAGTGCCTCACCACCCTCACAGTAAAGAACTTCTTCCTTATATGCAACCTGAACTTCCCTTGTTTAAGTTTGAACCCATTACCCCTTGTCCTATCGCTACAATCCCTGATGAAGAGTCCCTCTCCAGCATCCTTGTAGGCCCCCTTCAGATTCTGGAAGACCGCTGTGAGGTCTTCATGCAGCCTTCTCTTCTCCAGGTTGAACAGCCCCAACTTTCTCAGCCTATCTTCATGTTTAATAAATTGTTTAAGTCATACTATGGATAGATGTTAGAAGCAAAACAAGGCAGCTGTGCTAAAGTTTTATATCATACATACACCAAGGAGTGTTTTCCTCTGACTTCAACACAGGGAAATGCAGCTAGCAGACTTGAAAATTGATTTAGTTTTCAGAACTGCTGTCCTCTACTTTTGGTTCAAAAAGCTTTTTCATTTGCTAAATAAAATCTGAATGTAGCAGTGTATTCTTGCACTATTAGCTTACCAGAAAACCATAAAAAGAGGGGAGAAAAAAACCCAACTCCCATTTCCCTTCCTACTCTGTAAAGAAAAAAATATCAGGCATGCAAAATGTTTAATTAAAACTCTGTATCTCTTAAACCTGTTAAAGATTTATATAGTGTATATAATGATGGTTTTAGTTGCTTGCTACCAAATATATATATCTTGAAAAATTTGATTGCTTAATGTGATATATCGCTAACACTGTGTGTTGAGCTTTTGAAATGCTGCAATTCCTGAACCTAGAAAGTTACTTAAAGTCATTGAAGTTAATAGAGATATTTTTTTCTCTCCAGATTTGAGTATCTATTTAATTTTGACAATACTTTTGAAATTCATGATGATATAGAAGTACTAAAACGAATGGGAATGGCTTGTGGGCTAGAATCTGGAAGCTGTTCAGCAGAGGACCTAAAAATTGCAAGGAGTTTGGTTCCTAAAGCTCTGGAACCATATGTGACAGGTCAGTTACTCCAAGAAGAGTTGTTTTGTTAATATGAGACTCAAAAAGCAATGTGAAAATATCTGAGATCAGTTAATTTAAGTTCCAGTGGTTTGTTTTAAAGATTTCTAGCAAATTCTCAAATAAATACACTTTTTAGCATACCTTAGGGAACAAATAACAGAGATTCATAGAGAATGGGCTGTGGTTTTCACAGAACCATGTTTTCCATTGTACCACACAAGTAGGTCTTTGCATTTTGCAATTCATTTAAGAGAACATTTAGAGTTGATGCACCTGCAGAGGCAAGGGGTAGTAAGTGCAAACATGGTCATGGCTTCATTTTATATTACTTTATTGTTTTCATTATATAAGCAATACTGGTGGCTTCTGACTTGCTCACTTCAAAATTAAATGTTGGGTTTTTTTTAATGTACTTTGAAATTTTTGCTGTTGCACTAGCTCCTTGGTTTTTAGTTATGCTATTTTGGTTATAGTACATCAGTATGTTCAGTTGGTTTGGTTGCAAGTCTCCTTTCTGGACTTTAAAAGGATTAAGCAATTATCTGAATTACGTGAGTGTTTTGAAGTGTTCTTGAAATACATATTGTTTGTTTTACAGAAATGGCTCAGGGATCAATCAGCAGTGTATATGTCACATCTTCATCAGGTTCTGCATCAAATGGCACAAGATTTTCAGCCAGGTGGGATGAAATGATCAATTAGTTTTTAAAATCTGCAATCATCAAATAAACTTAAGGAGGGTTAAATATTTGATAAAGAAGTTTTGTTTTGATTAAATGTGATATTGGTATGTGTTTAAGTTTATTCTTGGGCATCACTTTTACTTGAGTAGTAGTAGTTCTTACTAGTGTCATTAAAGAAACCTTTTCCTGTATAGTGGAAAAGAAATTGATTAGGCTGGTGTTAATCTTGAATGTATTATTTTTGTTTAGTTTGGAATTTGTGAGAAGAAAATAGATACTTGCCTAAAGATACAATCTGGGCAAGGTTCTCCACTGATCGTTAGTGTCTAACTTAAAAAAAGGGTTTTTCGGTTTTAAACATTTTCAGAAATGGGTAGAGTGATAAACTGCAACTTGGGTTTAGCTTTTTGTGGATGTATGTAATTTCTGAACTTAAATATTGTTTTTCTCTTGCTATGTAAGACACTTAGGTAGTTACTACTGGATAGATTCTTGGTGTTGCATTTATCAACAAGTTGTCCTTGTTTATAAGCAAGTTCTACTAAGTTGTAAAATGAGTTAAATGTCATATTTTTTCTTTAATATCTCCAACTGAATATGCCATCTGTCTGTTTGAAACTCTTTCTCCTTGTCTTGTCAACTGCATGTGCTGGTAAAACATCATTCTCAGTATTTCTTATAAGCTCTCTAGGTACTGGAAGGCTGCTATAAGGTCTCCTTGGATTTTTCTCTTCTTTAGGCTAAACAAGCCCAGCTCTCTCAGTCTGTCTCCATAGGAGAGGTGTTCCAACCCTCTCATCACTTTCATGTCCCTTTTCTAGACCTGCTCTACCAAGGCAGTATGTGTCTTGTGTTGGGGGCCCCAGAGCTGGATGCAGTACTCACGAGAATGGAGTACAGGAGGAGAATCACCTCCCTGAACTTGCTTGGCCATGCTCCTTTTGGTGCAGCCCAGGATACAGTTGGCTTTCTGGGCTGCAGCAGCATGTTGACAGGTCATGTCTAGTTTTTCATCCACCAATATCTCCCAAGTCCTTCTCTACAGGGCTGCTCTCAATCCATTTATCCCCCAGTCAGTACTGATACTGGGGTTTATCCTGACCCAGGTATAGGACCTTGCGCTTTGTTGTGTTGAATTTCATGAGGTTCATGTAGGCCCACTCCTTCTTCTCTCAAGTTTATCAGCAGCGCCACCCTGCTTTGTGTCATCTGTAAACTTGCTGAGGGTGTGCTCAGTACCACTGTTAGTCATTAATGAAGATACTAAATACTGTTGGTGCTGGTATGAACTCCTGAGCGACACCACTCATTACTGGTTTCTATTTGGACATGGAGCTATTGACTATAACTCTTACCATGCCAATTTCTTATCCATCAGACAGTACATCTGTCAAACTCTATTTCTCTAGTTGAGAGCTGAGAATGTTGAGAGCGACTGTTATTAAAGGCCTTCCAGAAGCCCAGGTAGATTACTTATTCCCTTATTTGTTGATGCATTTATTCCATCATAGAAGGCACATTTTGGCCCTCCTACAATCCTGTAATCGCCTCCCTGTCTTTCATACATATGTCCGCATAACTTCCAGAAGGACCTGTTCCGTGATTTTAGTGGACACTGAGGTGAGCCTAGAAAGGAGAGAGCAAGTTATAGATTACTTCACCTCTTTCCACAGCAAGTGAGTGTTTTACATTAGAATCACTGGCAGGCGCTGCCTTGTAAATTATTTGGAAAATTGCTATACCATCAAAATTCTTAAGGAAGTACTAATTTTTAGGCCATTTAATCCATTTGTGTTTAAAGGCAAAAATCCTGTATTGATGGGATTTTTTTAGACAAGCAAAACAGCTTTATACTTGTTCTCTAAAGATAATCTTCTGGCAGCTTTTTCTCTCCCATCTGCCTTCTGTGAGAGTTGGAAGGAGGTCTTTCTAAGGATACAGTATCTGGGTTACTTTAAAAGGATAATACAGTTACATTTCTGAAAGCATTTTTGTAATGAAATGCCTTTTTGTAGATAACAAGTTTACTTGAATGCAGAGAAAAAAAAAAAACAACCAAAAAACTTGAAACAGTTAAGCTCAGGGATGTGCAAGACTAGCAATGGTGAGGAGCGTGGTTCATGCTGCAGCCCATTCCTGCAGCCCAGAAGTGTGAGGAATTTGTCCTGTTTTGTGCTAGGGAACTGAAACTAAGTGAGAATATTGCTAAAATATCTTTAGAGAAACAGAACTTACACAGTATATGAAATCTCCTGTTCTTACTGAGGTTCCTTCTATGTTAATGTACATGGAGTTAGTGAAAAAGAGCCCATGTATTTTTAAGACTTTGAAATTTGAATAGGCAGCTACTAGCTAAGAGACCAGTAGAAAAAGTGGAGGCTGACTGTGGTTCATAATCTTGGTGAGAAGCAGGAGAACTCCTTCTACCTCTGTTTCTTAGGAGACTGGAAAAGGGTTGTGACAAATTATGTCTAGTTATAGTACATGTATAAGTATTCATGGCAGTAGGAAACTACAAGATATGTACCTTTTCTGGTACCAAAAACTGTCAAAGACAGACTGCAGAAGACTGAAGATTTTGCTGCCGATGCCTTCATTCCAATTTCTTTGTCTTGCTAAGGAGCTCAGGTTATGAAATCCAGTTCCATGTTTATCCAAAAGATGGGTGACAGGTTTTGAGTTTGTACTTTCCAAATTCACAGGAACACAAGCATATTTTTTGTTGTTGTTTTTGATGCTGCTTCTGCAGATAATTCTGGAGAATATAAATTACCTGACGACAGCTAAGCAGATATCTTGTTATCTTCCGAGTAAGTGTGCAGAGCAGCAGAAGCTCTTGGAAGTGTCTCACTGGACGTACATTTTCCTTGTTATCTTCTGGGGCAGTTTCATTTTGTGTGGTTACAGACCATTCAACTAGCTCCATACAGCGGTGTGCATGATAGATTATGTGCATCAGCTGGATTGAAAAATGGCTAGCAAACATATTCTTGAAAGCAGTTTTAAAATGATGAATGTCTTCCAAGTTGGAGATACTTTTTCTGTGAATTTTAGAAAAACATTTTGTCAAGAATTTGACCACGTTTGATAAAAAAGATTGGCAAAATAGCAATTAATACTGGAGGCAGGAATGTTTGGCTCTTAAAATACCTCTGGATACAGTTAACTCATCTTGGAACAAGATATTTTAGACCATATTTACAATGCTTGTGTGTATTTTGGTGGAAAAAGATCCCATTCAGTTAAGATACTTTCCAAATCTACTTGCTGATCCAGGAGATAAATTTTCAGTGTCGGTGAATTTTCAGTGTACATAGATGTCTACAAGAGGGAAAAATACAAGATGTCAAAGAAGTAGGGATTTTTTTTTTTGCTTGGGGAGAGTGTTGGTTTTGGGGAATTTTTTGAGTTGTTCTGAGGTTGGTGGGGTGGATTTTTTTGGTTCAATTTTTTGTTGTTGTTATACAGTGGTTTTTTTTTAAACTAGGAAAGTATGAGAAGAAAACCATTTCAAGTTAAAAATACAGTGCATGTAGCAATGATAGTTCGCCATGTAATAACAAAGTTTTAAGGAGGAGCTATTAATACCCAATTTTACGTGTCTTGAGTCAAGATTAGTGCTTAAAGATAGGATTCACTTGTGATGCGAGTGTCCAGTGCTACTTAAAAATAGTAAAGGGCTTAGATAATTCTGTAGCTTTAAGGCTAAATGTACTTCAGAAGTTACCTGGAAAGGATTTAATCTTTATATTAAACCTAAAGGAAGAAACACGATAAGAACCACTTCAGAATTACTTTACTGTTTCTGCTTTTGAGAAATAACTTAGTCATGTTCAATACAGTTTATAAAATAGCAGTGGCAGATTCATTAAAGGAACAGATTAGATGCATAATTATATTTAAGAGCACAGTAAACCAGGAAAAATCATTAAGTAATACCAATTGGCCATGTTGGTTTTTTTGTTGTTTTTTTTTTTTCCCTTCAGTGACTTTTCCAATGGTGGAGACGGGATGTTGGCTACAAGTTCCAACGGATCTCAGTACAGTGGCTCCAGAGTTGAAACACCAGTTTCTTATGTTGGGGATGATGATGACGACGACGACGATTTTAATGAAAATGATGATGACGACTGATGCCCTTTGCTTGTAGACTATTTTTTGTTAAAATTCAGCAAGCTTCAGGAATAAATTGTTCTAGGGAGAAGTGTCTCAAATAACTTTGCCCCATCCCTCAAGGAGAATATTGGTAAGCAGTTCTAAGTTTAGAAATTGCACCTCTGATAAGCAAACAAGGATTGTTTTATGTAGGATATTTTTAAATGTGGTGTGGATGTGTGTTTTTGATACCAGTGTGTTAATGCAGAGCCTTTATTTACTCTTGTTTTAGGGGGTTTTGGTTTGTTGGTTGTTTCTTGTTTGTTTTGGGTTTGCTTTTCTTTTTTTTACTTGAAGGAAAACGGATTTTGCCCCAAATGTTCTTGCGAAGTTTGCTAAAGAAAATGTAGACACATCATTGAGAAATAAAATGCTATCCTTCTGTGGAAAATGAATACACTGAATGGCAATTTATTTGGAGTATATTTTGATGATGCCACTTTTGGAGGAATAGTGAGCTAATGTAGTAGTGTTTTTTGTTAATCGCGCAGTGTCCAAAGAACCAAACAAGAAAGATACGTCCTACTTTTTTACATGTTAAATTCCAGAAATGTTGTTGTGAACTTTTTTTCCCTTAAATTATATCTAACATGATGATTCCATCAAGTTTATATGCTTTTCACTGTATGTTGGGACATATGAGTAACAAAGTTTTTGGCAAATGTTTACTGCCAGTTGGTGCAGCTATATAAAATGTCTTGAAGGTTTGGAATGATTTATTGCTTATGGTGAAATTTGCCTGATTTCTTACAGGCAGACTTTGGAAACTTTTTATTATATAGTTGTTTACATACTTATAAGTCTATCATATAAAGACATGTACTGAAACAAATGTTTGTATTTGTTTCATAAGCATCTTCCTGTAATCTATTATAAAGTTGAAATTAAATATAGAGAATGTTTTAAGTTTTTTAACTCAAAATTTGTCAATCATTTTTAATAGTTCATTTTTATAAAAGGAATTTCAGGGCAGGTGGTAGTCTTTTTGAATTTATTCACAAACAATTAACTGCACAAATACTGTCAGCTGCCTCTTCTAAGACAGTAGTCTTTTTATTGAAACACAAATAAACTTTTCTGTAATATTTTATGGAATATAAAGAGACTATAATTGTTTGACTTGTTTAACCTTGGCACTGTTAGTTTTTATTAATAAAACGCGCATGGGCATTTTTAACAAGCTCTGTGGTTTTTCTAATTTTAGGATTATTTTAGAGCATTTCCCTTCCTCTTGTCACAAGACCTAGAACTAACTGTCTCAGCGTACTGCATCTGCACTACAGAGGTCCCAAATTTTTGGCTTTGATACAGGAATTTGTCCTTACAGCTCTTGGTAACTTACGATATCTTTCCCTGTATGCTCTGTTCTTTCACGTCTCCTTACTTCAGTCATGTTGCTACTCAGCGTGCCAGGCCAGTCTTAGTTGTCCGGTCCAGCTTCTCTGTTCAAAATCCCAGATTTACTGTCCTAACTTTTCATCCCATGTTCCTCAGTCCTGGCTTTCCATTGTAGATTCCCATGTCCTCAGAACAGTTCTTCGTCTATTTTCCATATATTTCCTCTTCACCTAAACATTTTTTTGGTTCACCTGAAAGTGCAGCTTACAGACTGGGCCACTCACTCTGCAGGTGGCTGTCAGTCAAGATTTGTTTCTTCCAAAAACTCCAGGAAGTTGCTCAGAGATAACTTACAGTCTAGTAAGTGTGCTGTCTGTGATAAGGGATCCTGGATACACTTAAACCCTGTGGTAAATATGAAGTATGTTACATGTGTTTTTTCTCTGGGGGACTGTGTCATGACTTGTCTTACCACCCTTCTTTGGTAAGGGGGTGTGGGTGCTTCCTACAGAGCAGCTGACACACAGTGAATGCTTTTTAATTGCATCAGAGTTATATGTAATATTGTAATATGAGTGAAACAAGCACATTACTTAATTTTATGGGCCTGGGAAAACCATTTATTGGGAGGTAATTGCATGATTGGCTTGTCACCAATGATGGCATTCTTTGCAGTGCTAGTGCTAGAAGCAAGGTTCTTACCATGGTTGAATCAGCTGATTCAAATTATCTTTGCTGTTGAATGGCAGTTTTCTCTGCGGAGTCCGACAACAGTTATCAAGGAACTTGTGACAGGCCATGGGGGTTGTTTTCTTTTCCCTTACATTCTAAATCTCCATTGTATGATTGAAGATTTACCTGCAAAGAGGAGCACAGGGATGCTAGGTAAGAAAAGCTGCAAGCATCTGACAGTTTCCTTTTGGTTCTCATTAGTGGAATAGATCTCAGATGAAACAACGTCAAGGTGGGAGTGGAAGTGCGCAAAGCACAGACTTTCTAAGACATTACTTTGCTTTTGGTTGCTGATGAATCTGTGAAATGGAATTTGAGAGTTTAACAAAACAGCATTGGAGTGGTCTGGGAGAGCAAATCTAATTATATGGTTGGACTTGATGATCTTAAAGGTCTTTTCTAACCTAAATGATTCTTTGATTCTATATTACCTTGGTTTCAGGAGAGCATTCTAGTAAGGGTGACTACCAGTAGCAAAAGAAAGTTTATTGAATTTTTTATTACATGCTAGATTTTGGGCAGTTACCTGGTCATTGTGTTTAGGTGAAAAAGGAGGGTGAGGAGGGAGAAAAGAGACCAATGGTGAGGAAGGAGGTGGAAATGAGGAAAGACTTCAGATCAAGGAGACTCTTAAGAAGTAGTAGGAGGGGACCAGAAAAGGAAGAACAGATTGAAATGTAAGAGTTTTCACAGAGGGAAGAAGGTGAAGTTAGGAAGAAGTAATGAGTTAAAAAAAAGACTGGTAGTAGAAACTTTATTCAAACAGGAAAAAAAAAAGGGGGGGAGCAAAGAAATATGTAGTACAGGTGTATTAATGCCGGGCCTGGAGTGAAAAGAGCTGGAAGGGAGGAGATAACTGCATGGTTCTTATCTCTGAAAAGGGTGACACCATACGTACAGATGGAAAAGGAAGGTAAAAGCAGGAACAGAATGCCAGAGGAAATCATGGGCAGGAAATCGTTGAGAAAATCTGTGGAAGCAGAAAATACTGTAAAGGGAGAGAAGCTAGAATTCAGTTTAAGGAAGATTAAATGATGGAAAGGTAATGAGAATAGTAATAAGGGCTCACTTCGGGGAAAAACATTATGAGGAAAGAATGTACTGTTACTCTTTTAATCTGTCAGTACTTTTTGTGATGTGAAGAAGAGGAAAAGTCACAAAGCGTGTATTTGTATCTCTGAAATGGTTCTGCAGATAAATCCTGGGACCAGTGTGCATCTTTCACTGTTTTTCTAAAGTGATAGCTTCAAAAGACTGTCCCTCCGTTTTGACGTGTAATAAGTTAAGCAGGCTTTCTTAGGATTTTTTTGTTTCAAAAGTAAACTGGTTTGCTTTTCCTTTTGAAATTTGATTGTCTTAACTAAAGAGAAGCAAGTGTGACTTTGGAAACTTCTTTAAAATCTTCCTTCAACAAAAAGCAACCATTGCAGGGAAGAAAAAATCAATGGAGCTGATAGGACACAGGTCTTTGAAAATGACCTTTTATTAAATTCTTCATAGAAGGAGCTAACTGTCATAAGATAAATCTCTGTTTCTGTATCAGTGAACACATGATACATTGTGAAATCTGTACATTAATGAGATCTGAAAATAGGAGGCTGCTTTAACTTAAAAAAGGAGCGGGGGGGAGAGCAGTGATATAATAATACTGGAATGATCATCAGTAGAAAGGAGAGAGTATATACATTTTTTTCCAGATAGTTCAGTTGCTTCCGATAGGGATTTGTTTTCTCTCATCTGCTTATGAGAAGAATGCTATTTACTTTGACTGCTACGCTGAGTTAAGATCTCTAAGCTCTTCTCAGATCTGTCTCCTTCCAGAAAGATGTGGATACCATCACAGGTGCTTTATTGTTAAAGCCTTGCTTGGTTTACTTTAATTGTCATTCATTTATCAACAAGCCAGCAACTTTGAATGTCGTTATTTTGTAAATTTGGGACTTAAGATTTTTCAAAGGTTATTCTTGGGCTCTGATTCCTCCTTGAGCTTCTGTGGATTATGGAGTGTTACCAAGATGCTGAGGGGTCCGGAGCAGTTGCTATATGAGGAGAGGCTGAGGAAGAAGGACTTGTTAAGCCTGAAGAAAAGGTGCCCTCAAGAGACCTAATGGCAGCTTTTCAGTACTTCAAGCAGGTTATTGCAAAGCTGGAGTCAATCCACAGTGATGCCTGGTGGGAGGATGAGGGACACACAACACACAGAAATGAAACAAGATTATTTCCATTGGAATTAAGCTGTGAAACAGGTTTCCCAGAGAAGTTGTGCTGACTTAGGGTTTTCAAGACTAGACGGGATAAAAGCCCTGAGCAATGTAGAGTCTGACCTCACAGCAGACAATGTTTTGAGCAGGGATGGACTAGAGATGACCTGAGATGCCTTCCAGCCTGAATTACCATATGGATCCGGTAAGAGTGATGAAAAGAAAACAAACAACATTTTAGAAAATACCAGTGTCATGAAAATATCAGTGTCATGAACAAACTAACAAGTGAGTCATCTGGATTGCCTGCAAAGACTCAACAGAAAAAGAATGGAAGCTCAGCTCATATTCAGAAACCATCAAAAGCTGCCAAACTCCTATGACAGAAGAGGTAGCTGGATGAGGGGATAGAAGTGAAAACTTGTCTTCCTTTACAGTGGGAGTTCTGAAAAGCAGAAGTGCAGCTGATGCTGAGAGCAGAATGAAGAAGGGCAACAACTGAAATGCATGGGGATTTCCTACTTCCAACATTTGATTACACTGGCAGTTCTCATCTGGCATCATGGTGGTTGTCACCTAGCTGCATCTGCCTGTCACTCACCTGGGGAGCTGCTGTGTCCAGAGAGACATTCAAAGTATGTCAGCACTAACAAGTGAAACATTTGTCACAGAAAACCATGATTATTGATTCACAGCTTTGCTGTGATAAAAGCAGAATATCCTGATATGGCAGAGTATAAAGACTGGTGTTAATCAAGAATCACCCATGTAACACCTTTACAAGTACTTTTCTTTGTTCTGCTATGACTTCTGTTTGTTCAATTTTTGGATGTTTTGAATGGATTGAAATCCAAACTTTGGCTCAAAGATTTGATCTTTTAACACATCACTGTGTATGCGTCATGGTACTTCACTGTAAGTAGTGCAGTGGTGTGAGCCCTGACCTATCAGGAGGGCTGCTTAGAGCAGAATGGAAAGTTTTTGCAATGTAGCACGTTAAAAGAATCACAGAATCACAGAATAGTTAGCATTGGAAAGGACCTTAAGATCATCTAGTTCCAGCCCCCCTGCCATGGGCAGGGACACCTCACACTAAGCCATGTCACCCAAGGCTCTTTCCAACCTGGCCTTGAACTGCCAGGGATGGAGCATTCACAACTTCCCTGGGCAGCCCATTCCAGTGCCTCACCACCTTCACAGTAAAGAACTTCTTCCTTATATCCAATCTAAACTTCCCCTGTTTTAAGTTTGAACCCGTTACCCCTTGTCCTGTCACTCCAGTCCCTAATGAAGAGTCCCTCCCCAGCATCCCTGTAGCCCCCCTTCAGATACTGGAAGGCTGCTGAGGTCTCCACGCAGCCTTCTCTTCTCCAGGCTGAACAGCCCCAACTTTCTCAGCCTGTCTTCATACGGGAGGTGCTCCAGTCCCCTGATCATCCTCGTGGCCCTCCTCTGGACTTGTTCCAACAGTTCCATGTCCTTTTTATGTTGAGGACACCAGAACTGCACACAATACTCCAAGTGAGGTCTCACAAGAGCAGAGTAGAGGGGCAGGATCACCTCCTTCGACCTGCTGGTCACGCTCCTTTTGATGCAGCCCAGGATATGGTTGGCTTTCTGGGCTGCGAGCGCACACTGAAGCCAGCTCATG